CATTCCTGCCCTTCACAGTGCAGGAGGCACAGGCTCTGCGCAGGCTGCGCTCCGTCCCCTACAGGGGAGAACAGGTCCGCAGCTGTCCAGGGAGACCGTGAGGTCTGACCTGGCGGAACCAAACCAGCCAACGGGAAACAGAGTTCGCAGTTTGGGAGGAGCAGTCTGAGCTAGAGTGTCTCAAGTGGCAGCCTCCGGGAGGCACGGGCTGCACTCCTGGGAGGGCTGACAGCAGCATCCGGTGTCGGAGGAGCCCTGCGGCCTTTGCGAATGATGGGCAGGGCAGCTCTTCCTGCCCCGTTGGTGGCAGAAGCAGGCCAGCAGGCCGACAGAGGCTGTGCAGATGGCCGGGTCTCAGGAAACCAGGGCAGAAGCAGCCTGAGCACATCAGAATCCGGGAAACGCAACTGGGCAAGGGTCTGTGTTCCCAAGACAAAGGGGCCGAGTGTTTCCACAGCTGCTGGAGGGTCTGTGTTCAGGCTCCTCTGCTCACCTGGCAGATGCTTGCGAGGGGAAGAGGGAGGCGCAGAGGCAGCCCTGGGGGACGTGCCCTGGGCGACGCGTGACCTGCCTGTTCCACGCAGGCCTGATGCTAACGCCTCACAACCCGACGGGGAGGGGCTCGGGGCCAGCAGCCCAAGGCGGCTTGGAAGCAAGTCGGGCAGTGGCGGAAGCTGCACGTGCACGACATGTACCTCAAGACCAGCTCCCCCGCACACTGCTGAGGTCCGTGGTCCACCAGGAGGGTGACAAGGACAGGCAGGAGAGCTGGGACTGTGCCCTGGCTGCAAACCCAAGCAGCCAGCTCCACACCAGTCCCCGGCTCCCACCTGGTTCTGGTGAGTGTGAGCTGACCTGTGCTCTGAGCACGGGACAGATCCTGGCCTTGCCCTTCTCAAGGAGATCCCCTTGGGCTGAGGGCTGAGGGCTGAGGGCTGAGGGCTGAGGGCAGGGGCCAGAGCAAGTACCCGGCTGAAGACAGCAGCGCAGGACGCTCAACCGGGGCACGGCAGGCAGGGCTCGGGGCTGGAAGGGGCCGAGCATCACCCCTAAGCTCGTCTAGAAAGATACGGGGAGTGGGGAAGGTTGGCCGGGGTGGCACCTCCACCAGCACCTGCGATGGCAGATGCACTCGGTGGTGTCGGGGTTGCTTTGCTTTCTTTTCTTTTTCTTTCTTTTTTTTTTTTTTTTAAAGATTTTTGCAGGGCCAGCAGGTGGCATGGTGCCTAAGGCGCTGGACCCTCCACAGGGTTAACTGAAGTTTGAGCCCTGGGCCTGGTGGCTTGCTTTCTCACTCCCCCAACCCCTGCCCAGATTAAAATAAATGAATGAATAAAATATATTAAAAATATTTTGCTATAGGGCATGTATGCTCCCCAGAGACAGAAAGTGGGAGATCAGCCACAGGGGGATGTCCACGCCATGACCCTTTCTCTTCCATTCTCCTCTCGGCATTTTGGGCACACGCACATGCCCAGCGTGTCTGAGGCCGCCGGGTCTGGGGCTCAGCTGTGGCTGACCGTGTGGAAGTCCAGTGCTTCAAGCACTATGCCACCTGCTGACCCCTCCTTGCGCGGCTGTCTCAACACTAGATCTTCCAACTCCCCAGAGTCCTGGCCGCACGCTGTGGGCCTTGGCGCGTTCTTGCGTATTCTCGTGGGCCGTCTGTGGCCCCTCCTGGTCACAAGTCTTACGCGCTGGGCCTCAGCCCAGGCTGACTTGTCACGAGGGCCCCGTTTCTGGTCAAGGTAGGCCTGGTACAGCATTCAGGCTGGGCAGTGAGGCAGCCATGGGTCTCTGGGAGCTCCATGGAAAGAGCTTGCCCTCCCTCTGACGGGGCCCTGTGGGAGGTGGACTGCTCGTGAGGAAACGCCAGGGTGGCAGGGCAGACTCCGACAGCTGCTCGGCTCAGGTCTGAGATGGATTTCTGTTGCTTGCAACCCTGAGTCCTGACTCAAGATGCTAGCCCTCAGCTTGAAGATGCAGCAATCCCACAAAGGGACAAGTTCCCCTGGCCACAGCGTGACCTTCTGGGGCCGGGTGTCCAGAGCAACCTGTCCAGAACTGGACACCGGGAAGGGAGCTGCCATTCAGGGGGCAGGGCTCTCGGTGCTCCGACAGCGCCTGCCGGCAGACAGACTCCTAGGCAGGGGTCCGTGCAGGACGGTCTGCCGCATGGTCTGGAGGCTCACATGTGGACCGCCCACGTCCCCTGGCCTGCAACCCTCTCAACAGCAGGGCCTGGGTACTAAGTTGGCAAGCCAAATACACTCACTAGGCTGGCACTAGCAGCTGGCTAGCACCCCCATCCGGCTGACAGGTGTCAGTGCTCTGTCCTGCTTGGCCCGCCCTCCCTCCCTCTGCAACAGGAAACAGGTCTGGGGCTGAGGGGAGGAGGCCCAGCAGCGGGGAGGTGTTCTTACTGGCTCAGGTGCAGTCCCATTTCTTGGAGGGCTTGTTCCTGTTCATCACAAACCTTCCGTAACCCCGCCTTCTCCTCCTGGAGCTCACGCAGCTCCTGGAACAAACAGGACAGTGACAAAAAACACCAGACCCTCCCCACCCCTTAAGGTCTGGTGACAGGACAAGCAATCCTGTGGGGTGGTTGCCCTCGGGATGTGTGCTCTTATGGACTGCGGCTGCTGCGCTATTTCCTGGGCAAGCTCTGCGGGAGGGAGGGGGCTTCTCCCACGAAACCCCACGAGGTAGTTACGGTGCTACAAAACCCGCCACACACAGACACACAGCCAACCACAGGGCCCGGCCATGCGTGCGTCTGGCTGGGGCTGCAGCCGTCTGACCCCCAGTCTGACCTAAGGACTGGGTGGTGGCATGCCTGAGACCCCAGCATTTCAAGAGGCTGAGGCAAAACAGGGAGGTCTGGGATGACCTGGGCCCCGAGGCCCTGTTTGAAGAAACTTTTTTAAAAATAAGAACCTTGGGGCTGGCAGGTCGCGTGGTGGTTGAGGGCACTGGGCTCCCACATGGCGACCACGGTCCGAGTCCCGGCCCTGGGAGCTGGCTTTCTCACTTTCTCTCACTGTCCCTCTCTGGGCAAATTAAAGTTAAATACATAAATTAAATAATTAAAAGAAAATTAGGAACCTGTGAGACAAAGTTTCACCTATCTGAACTAGAATTGAAGGAGTTTGCTTTTTATTTAGGTTCTTGCTACAGGGTGTGTGCGCCTGCCTGTGCCAAGGGTCACACCGCAACCCCCTCTTCCTTGCTCTCTCCTGGCAGGCTCTGGGCGTGCACACATGCCAAGTATATTTTTCTAAACTGCTGGGTCCAGGACTTGAATCTTGTGGCCATGTGGGATACTGCCACCTCGACCACTAGGCCGTGGGCTAGCCCAGAACTTTCCATTAGAAATCAAAAGAGGGGGCAGGGCAGCAGGTGGCGAGGTGGTTAAGGCAACAGACTCCCACATGGCTGATAGTGGTTCAAGTCCTAGACCTGGTGGATTGCTTTTTCTCTCTGGTGTGCACGTGTGCCCTGTAGCAAATTAAAACAAAATAAAATTATGGTAAGTAAAATAAATACGTGTCCCTTTAATAAAGACAAAAAGAAACTAAAGGGCCTCCTGGGCTACTCGGGCTGCAGTGGCACCCATTCCCACGTCCAAGGGCAAAACCGGTTCAGAAGCTGCTCCAGCCCAAGGCCCTGTGAGGGACGGGGCGGGGAAAGAAGGTGGCTGGTCTGTCACACAGTGGTCGCGGTCTAGGCCTGGAGCACCCCTCACAAGGAAGGCACCAAGGAGGCCGAGGGCCCTGGGGCTCCAGCCCGCGGCAGGCCAGCCCGCACCCTTCCCTCCTGCTAGCTGGCGGCTGCCAAGTCGGGGGCCCCCTTCGCCTGCCGCTGCGTCTCCTGGGAGTCCAGCTGCCCAGCAGGTGCCAACACCATGCTGGCACCCCGGCTCCATGGCTCCGAGGCCCACAGGGCCCAGGAATGTTTGCAAGTGAGGTGTGGCCTCCAGCAGACTGAGGTGATGACAGGGCAGGTGAGCAGGGTGTAGCCGTGGGCAGGTTCAATCTGCTTTCAGGGACAACCGATGGGCCTGAGCGGGGCTGAGGGCTGGTGATTTGCTGGCAGGTGCCTCACGGTGGCCCCACCTCTGCTCCTGCCAGCCTGTCCCGGCTCCACATGGTAGTGGCTGATCCAATGCGGAACGGGGCCGTCCCTCCAGCAGCCCCTGCCACCGCCTTCAGCCTGGAGGGTCTCCCAGCCTGAGGCCTTCTCCGGCGGCCCAGCACCCTGGCCACACTGCTCTCCTCTGCTCCTGCAGCAGGAAGCCATCTCTCCTGGTGCCTGTCGGCAAGGCTCTGCCCAGGTCACTGTGTGGCCACCTCCTGCTTGTCAGTCCTGTCCATCTTGGGGGGAACGGTCTCTTCCACTCCTCCCACATCCTGGTCGCGTCCCTGCACGCCACGGAGCACTGGGGCGGCGACAGGCCTGGGAGGGGCTGCAGGGCGGCTGAGCAGGGGTTTCGGGAGAGCACTGGGCGTCCTCTCTCCTGGGATGGTGCCCTTACTCTTCTTTTAGATTTCTGTTACAGGGTGGGTGCACTCACCAGAGACAGGAAGTGAGAAATCACCCCCAGGGGGATGGCCACACCGCAGTGCCTTCTCCATCCTCCTCCTGGGATCCTGGGCACATGTGTACCACGTGACCAGTGAGTTTCAAGCCACCAGGTCTGGGAGGGACTCGACCCGTGGTCGGCCACGTGGGAGTCCAGCTCCTTGGCCACTGTGAGCCGGCTGCCCTCCATTACATTTTTATTTTTAAGAATTATTTAATTTAATTTTATTCATTTTTATTTGGCCAGAAAGGGAGAGAGCAAGATGAGGTGGGAGAGCGGCCGCCAGGCCCGGACGCGGGCCACCGTCCGCCATGTGGGAGTCCAGTGCCCTTAACCACCACGCCTCCTGCCGGGCTCACCTCCGAAAACTTGATCTGGCAGGAAGTGTGTGTGTCTGCTAGAGTGGGGGGAGAGCTCGCCCCGGGCGATGGCGCGCCCCAGCCCTGCCATCAGGACCCCGGCTGCAGGCACCTCGCCTGGACTGGAACCCAGCCACATGCCCCACTGGCCCCAGCTCACCTTTCGGAGGCCGCCCACCTGCTGGAGCTCTGCCTGGAGCAGAGAGCAGGTGTCTTTCTCGTGCTGTAACTCCCGCTGAAGGGCCTGCCTCTGCTCTTTTTCCAATTTCAGCTCTTTCTCTAGACTTGCACTGTTTTCCCAAAATAAATGCGAATCAGTCTTGAGACTTTTTCATGGCAGACCCCACACCCACAACCCCCCAGACTGCACGGGAAACAAGGGCCACCTGAGCGGCCACGTGCACATCTGAGCCCTCAAGTCACTGCATGAGGCTCCCTCTGCAGGCCCCGGGAGAAGGGGCGCGAGCGCACAGTGACAGCGGCGTGTGCTGAGGGGGAGGCGCTCCGACACCCAGGCCCACGGGGGATCCTCCACCAGCCAGAGCCCTGAGGGCAGGACCCAGCCCACGGTGGGACGGGCTGCGGTGCAAGCTACTGTGGTCGGGCTCGGCCTCACTCAGAGCCCTCCCTCATGGGTGACAGGGCCCGCATGTGCCTCTCCCCGCCCACTGGGCTGGCTGTGACCGGCCGGGCAGGCAGCTCTCTGGAGGGCCCTAGCCGGGAGCAGGCCTTCCCCAAGTCCCCGCGCCCCAGGGCACCCCACGCCCCAGGGCACCCCGCGCCGGGCCTACCACTGCTCCTGCAGCTGGGACAGCCGCAGCCGCAGGGCGCTGACCTTCCCGCCGAGCTCCTGCTGCAGCTTCCGGCTCCGCTCCTCGGCCTCCCGTTGCGCCCCCTCCGAGAGCTGTAACCTGGACGGTGACACGGGCGTGCGTGAGTGGACCCGCCTCAGCGAGCAAGGGGCGCTCACTGTCACTGGCGGCCTCGTATTTTGCCTACTTTCACTGGCCTGAAATTTCCTTTTCATTTAAAAATTAGCACACGGTTCAACAGACGTGTGTGTGTGTGTGTGTGTGTGTGTGTGTGCGCGCGAGAGAGAGAGAGACGTGGCTGGGGGCTCTAACACAGGCGGCCTCCAGCTGCACCACAGCCAGGGCACAGGGAGTCCCGTCGCCCTGAGGCCCCAGGTGCCCGTCCATGCACACCCCTTCGCGTCCCCCACTCCCGGCACTACTGCCGTGTCCTGTGCCACTCCGGCTCTGTCTGGTCGAGACTGTCACGGGAACCTACCACACCTCATGTGCCACACGGCCGAGCGCCTTCCTTCCTGAACGAGGTCCCCGTCCGTGTCTGAGCTGCATGTCACTGTCTACATGCTCGGGTCTCACACGTCCCAGCAAAGGACCTGGGGCTGCTTCCAGGTTTGGCAATGAGAAGAACTGTGGGCCAGGACCAGCCATGTCGCTGGATTCCCACATAACTGACTGCATTTCGAGTCCAGGCTGGGCGGCTTGAAACTCAGGCTGGGCACGTGTATGTGCGTGTCCACAATCCCGAGGAAAATGGAGGAGAAGGGATTGCGGCGTAGTCGTCCCCCCAGAGGGTGATTTCTCGCTTTCTTGTCTCTCTCTGTCTTTCTGGTGAGCACACACGCCCTATAGCAAAAACCTCCCCCCAAAAAATAAAAAATAAAACTGTGGACTGGCCTGCAGCAAGGTGGCAAGGCGGCTGGCTCTCACATGGCCACTGGAGTGGCTGGAGTCCTGGACCCAGCAGCTTGGAAAACACGCTAGGTGCATGTGCCTATGTGCCCACAATCCTGGAAGGAGGGAGAGAGAGAGAAGAGCCTGCGGTGTGCCCTGCCACATAGGGGTGCTTTCTGCCCTCCCATCCCCATCTCTGCAGTAAATGCACATGCTCTCTGCAAAAACCAAACCAAACCAAACCAAACCCGAACAACAGAGAGAAAAGAACTGCCACAGATACAGATGCGTGTGTGGTCGTTTTTGTGGACACAGACTTCTCTCACTGGCAAATATCAGCAGTGGGTTATGGGTCACATGATATGAGGGTTTTAGCTTTTTCTGTTTTTAAAGAGAGATTTGTGATATAGGCATGTACGCTCGCTAGAGAGACAGAGAGAGAGCAAGAAATCAGCCCCTCCCCCCGGAGATGGCCACGCGGCAGTCCCTTCTCCTTTCTCCTCGTGGGATTTGGGGCACACATGCACATGCGTCTGGCCTGAGTTTCAAGCCACTGGTCTGGGACTGAAGCCGCAGTCGGCCGTGTAGGACTCCGGCAACGTGACTGCTGCGCCACCTGCTGGCCCCGAGGTTTAGCCTTTGACCGAATGTTGGAGGACGTTTGTGCTTGCCCAAGACACGAGGAGGGCGTGGCCACAGCCCCCTCACTCCTCCCCTGCCCGACTAAGGCATGTGCCCGCACACTCCCAGCACCTCTACATGGCTGGGGTGACCGAAACTGCAGCCAGCACGGTGGGACCCAGCCCGATGCCCTGTGCTGAGATGGCCCGGCCGGATGTTTGGGTGTGACTGTGATAGGGGCCCAGCACATAGCTTCACCCCCAGAGGACGTTCTGACACAGTGGCTGAAGGCTGAGACACTGAGGATGTGCCCGCCCAGCCTCGGCGGGACGCAACCACAGACCAGAGCCCGGCAGCCGCCTCGCTCACCCACCGTCTAGAGGGGCCACGTCCCTTTCCCAGCCCGGAGAAGGCCCGGCATTGGAGTTGGCCGGTGGGAGGTAATCACCTTTCTTCCATTTGTTTCATGCAGGACAGAGCTTGATCGGTTTTCTCTTCCAGGGATGCGATGGCCTCCTCCTTCTGCTGAAAGCTGCCCTCGGTGCCCTGTGAGAGCGAGAACGGCCCGCACTCAGGCCTGGCGGCTGCCCCGGCCCACGCTCTCAGCTCACCGCCCACCTCCCACCTCCCACGTCCACACCACTTGCAAGGGTCTCTCCTTAATAGCAGCTTCTTCCCTGAAAGAGCAGAGTCCCAGAAGGCGAAGTGGGCCAAGGCCCCTGGTTCTGGCAACAGAGGCCCGACATCCCTGGGCCGTCCCCACAGCCAGGCCCACCCACGATGTCACCCACCCGAGGACTCTGAGGGAGATGCCGTCAGCTCCATTTCTCCACGGAGGGGCACTGGCAGCAAATCGGCACAGCGGGGCTCGCCCCACGGCCGCACAGCCCTGAGGCCCAGCTTTCGCTGGGACAGACACTGAGTGACCAGGAGGGGCCTGTCCTGTGAGCTTCCGAGAGTGAACACACGGGCTGGCCCCCGTGCTGCAGGTGAGGCTGAACCCCACGTGGCCAGCTGAGCTGTGAATCCGGACTCAGGAACTTGAAAACGTGAGGCAGGTATGCATGTGAGTGAGTGTGAGAGTGAGTGTGAGCATGTGTGTGTGCCCGAACTCCTGCTGGGAAGAGATGGAGGGCAGAGGGTGCAGCATGACCACACCTACACACCCCACTGGGGGGCGCTCTCTGGCAATAAACTAAATACCACGGAGAAGGCTGAAGACAAAAAACCCTGATCATTATTTTTAGTTTTTTTTTTTTTTGCTATAGAGCATGCGTGCTTGCCAGAGACAGAAAGCAAGGAACAGCCTTGTGGGGGGAAGGCTATGCCACAATCTCTCCTCCATCCTTCTCTTGGGATTTTGGGCATGCGTACACGTGCACCTGGGATGAGTTTCAAGTCACTGGGTCCAGGACTTGAACTACAGTCGGCCATGTGGGAGTCCGGCACCTTCACCAACACACCACCTGCTGCCCCCAGCAGCTTTGAGTAGGACGCAGTCGTTGCCTACTAGGTAGCTCTCGGGCAGGAAGCTTTGCAGTTTTTAGATGCTGCTTTTTGAATTCTGGCATAACGGACTCTGCTCTGAAAGGACCTGGGAGGTGGCGGCCAGTTGTGTGGCCCAGAGGGGTCAGCAGGAGTGACCTAACGGCTAGGGTTTGGGATGCAGTACCTAGCGATGTCCGTAATTCAGCTTCCACTCCTCGGGGCACACAACGGCTGTGGGGACAGCAGGGGACAGAGCAGGGCCACGGGAGATGTGCTGAGAAAGCTCGGGTCTGGCCAAGAGGATAGCTCTGCTGATGACCGCGCCCAGGGACGTGTGACTACCCCTTGGTTCTGCCTTGTCACTTGTGTCCCTTCTCAGGGACTGCCGTGAGGGTCAAACGAAATAAACACAATCGCATGAGCAAGGCACTGGCAGGCGACATGCGCGGGCTCACAGAGGTGTCTGCGGGCCCAGAGAGCCTGGCGTGAGACCGGGGGTGGCACGTGGGCAGCCCAGGCTACCGGGGGGGGGGCACGACCCGAGGCCAGTCCCACCTGCACTTTGTGAAACATCTGCAAATTAATGGCTTTGACTTCGTCTAGCTGCTGACGGAGGGCCACCAGCGTGTCCTGCTTCTCGTGGGTGTCCTTCTCCAGGAGCTTCATAGCGATCTCCATTTCCGTCTTCATCCCGATCTGTAACTCCAGTTCTTTTTCTAGTTCCTTAAAAGATCGTTTACAAGGAAACTTATTAAAGGCGATCGCAGGCGTGTATTTAACTGAGGCTGTGTCTTGGGTAAGGCCTAACACCCAAACCGCAGGTCTGAAGAAGGTAGGGACTGAGAGGAGCTGTCTGGGGCGGGGACAGACCAAGTGCCCTCCCACTGCACAAGCAGAGCAGGCTGAGGCGGATGGAGCTGTGCAGAGGCAAGACGGGCCTGGGCCTCGCAGTCACGTTCTCCAAACCCAGCCCCGGGTCACCTGCTTGAAAGAAGGCTGGTCTTGGGACCAGCCAATGGCGTAGCGGTGGTCAATGGACTCCCGCATGGTCCACTGTGGTCTGAGTCTTGGACTCAGTGGCCTAAAATCATGCAGGGCGTGTGTGTGTGCACATGCGCGTGTGTGTGTGAGCGTGCGTGCCCAAGATCCCAGGAAAAGAATGAAGGGACTGTGGCATGGCCATCCCCCCTGGTGGGGTGATTTCTCACTTCCCCTCTCACTGTCTCTGTCTCTTCTCTCCCTGGCAAGCAAATGTACCCTCCAGCAAAAATCTCTAAACAAAAAAAGAAAGGTCGTCCTAGGTTTGGGTGCTGGAAGACCTGATGCTGCAATGCTGAGATTTCTCCAACAATTTCCTAGTTATGGCAACAGAGCACAGACCGCTGTCCTGGGTAACTGAGAACACGCCTCCCCACAAACACAGTAAGTGAGGAAGAGGCCAGGCAGGAAACTGCTGGGCGGACTCGGGGCAGGGCCTGCGGTGAAGCAGGGCAGTGCCGCACACTGGGAGCGGGTCCCACACGCCATGTGGCCCGAATCCTGGCCCTGCTGGCTTGAAATACATGAGGCACATGCGCTGTGTGCCCCGAGTCCTGAAGGGATGAGGACGGGAACAGAACTGTGGTATGAACATGAGCCCTGGGGTGCTGCTTCTCTTTCTGAAAAGTTCATGCAGCCTCTGGCAATTAAAAAAAATTAACAAAAAACGCCTGGCCCCGTGGCCTACAGGTTGAGGGGCCACATCCCACAAGGCCAGCTGTGTCTGAACTGTGGCCGTGGCAGCTCGAGGGACACGCCAGGTGTGTATGTGCGTGTCCCAAATCCCCGACAGGATGGGATTGTGGCGTGACTACACCTGAACGAGGGGGCTTCTCCCCTTTGTCTCTGGGATACGCACATACTCACTGGCAAAACAAACAACAACAACAACAACAACAAAAAACAACAACAACAAAAAGACAGTGAATTTAGGCCACTGACACCGACTGAACAGAATTAAATAGGTTGGAGGCTCTGACTGAGACAACTGTATTGTCCAAGAAACCGGAAGTCCCTGAAGAAGGGTTAGAAACATGAGAAAAAATATCAGTGACGATGTTGAACTAAGTTAGAGACAGCCTTATTTTTTAAAGGAAAGCTTCTGCCCCTGAGTTTAACATGCGCCCGGGGGGTCTTTCTGATTCCCCTCAGTCCTGCACTCACCCTCCGGACCTTCCTCTCCTCCTCCAGCTGCTTCCACACGTCGCTGTACATCTCGTCCAGGCCTTGCCGCGTCTGCTTGTACGTCTCCAGTTCGACTTCGGTGTCCTGCTTCGTTATCTACATCAAACGAGAGCACCGGGGCCCGGCTCGCGGAGGGAAAGCAAGCTCACCGCGAAGTTTAAAGCACACGGCGTGTTTCAAAATAGACAATCGTCTCTGTCTTTTAAGCATGATACAAAAAGGCTAATTTTCTTCGCGTTTTTAAAACCGTAGAATTGCGTATCTTTGTGGGTACAATATTCTCAGAGCACACATGTGGCATGTGGTAATCAAATCAAGGGTGGCCTATCGGCCCTCTTACATGCAATCTTGTGTCTGTTGAGCTTCTTCCCTGAGCCTCTCCCCTCTACCTCCCTCCCCTGTAGCCTCCGACCTAAGCTTGCTTCTGTCTTCAAACCCTCCCACTTCTGCCCGGGAGCAGACACTCGTCCTGTGCCGAGTGGGGACAGACAGTGTCTGCCTTTCAGCCTGGCTTATCTCACTTAGATTACATCCAGACCTCCCTCTTTGTACTGAATGGCAGGAGCTCACCGCTCCTCACGGTAAGTAGCCCGCTGAGTCTGCGTGGCACGTTCTCCACCCAGTCACCAGTGGCTGGGGACTCGGGTGGTCCCGTGGAGGCTACTGCGACTGGCGCTGAGATACGCCTGTGCCAGCGTCTCTGACTACCCTTTGCGTAGATGCCCAGCAGTGGGGTCACGTGGTGGGTCTGGCTGTACATTTTTGAGGAAGCTCCATGTTTTTTAAAAAATTTATTTAATTATTTTATTTTTTTGGAGAGGTTTTCGCTATAGGGTGCATGCGTTTGCCCGAAAGACAGAGATAAAAAGTGAGAAATCACCCCCTGGGGGGCTGGCCACGCCCCAATCCCTTCTCTTCCATTCTCCTCTCGGGATCTTGGGCACACACGCACACGCGCCCGGCATGAGTTCTAAGCCACCGGGTCCGGGACGCAAACAGCAGTCGACTACGTGGGAGTCCAGGGACATAGCCATTACGCTAACTGCCGGTCCCCGAAGCTCCATGTTTTCTACGACTTTGTGAACTTATATTCTACCAATAGTGCAGGAGGGCTCCTCCAAGGACTGCCATTTTTAAAGACGGAACTTGAAAATAAAGAGTAAGAGCAGCCAATGGCATTTTCAGGCAGGGTCTGGCACTGTTCTCCTGCTCAGTCCCTAGAGCTACTGGGCTTACAGGTGCATCCCATGTGCCCAACCTTCAGGCTGCACTGGAGTTGAGCCCTGGCCCCCGTGGCCGTGGTCTGGGGACACTGTCTTAGCAGTGTGCATCACTTCTGCTTGGCTGGAGTTTTGAAAAGTTAGCACATAAGAAAATTTACAATGGACCAACAGATAGTGTGGAGGGACGGTGCCGGATCCCACATGGCCAACTCCATGGTTCGAATCCCAGATCCCGCGGATTGGAAATCCTGGCAGGTGTTGTGCATGCGTGCCAGAAAAGCCCCGTAATTTATACCAGGCCATCGGGAAGCATGGGGGTACGGCGCTGGGTACCACGTGGTGACTCCACGGTCTGAATCCCACACCCAGTGGCTCGAAAACCATGCTAGGCATGTATGTATGCATGCTCAAAGTCCCGAGAGGAGGATGGAGGAGAAGGGACTGTGGTGTGGCCATCTCTGCAGATTACTCACTTTCCCTCTCTCTCTCTTTCTCTGTCTCTCTCTGGTGAGCACATGTGCCCTAGAGCAAAATCCAAACAAATAACAACAATTTTATACTTGATTTTCTTTTAAACAGATTAACAGATTAACGTCATTCACTCTGGGGGGAAAGACCCTTGTCCGACCGCCATTCGGCACCCACCAATGTGTTTTAGCACTGGGAAGATCTAACAGGAATCAGAGACAGTCTGCTGTCAGCTCTCAGGGGCGGAGACAGACGCAGACAGACTGCAACGGGAGGGCGGGTGAGAGCCGGGCTGGGTCACCATTGATCACGAGCCTGAGTCACCGGGTCTGCGTGAGTGAGAGACACGCCCCCCCCCCAGGCCGAGTCTCACCTCCACACTCTTCTCACTCCTTTCGCGAATTAATTCGTTTTGTTCTCTTAACTGCTGCTGTTCTTCCTGAAGTGAACAAATCCGGTCTGTTGCAGCTGAAAGCTGATTAAGAAAGATTTTTACATACTTTAACATCAAAATTAATATTGCTGTTCAAATTAAAAACTAACAATTACTTGGCGTCTTTGCAACTTATAATCTATTTTCATGTTTGCTCTTTCGTCTTTTTGAATAGGTGACACACGACTCAAAATCCCAGATACGAAAATGAAGAGCACACTGTCCCCGCCCCTGCCCTGGCCAGCGCCGCCCTTCTCGGATTATCTCCCCTAACGACGTGGAGCACTGCTGAATGCAGACCGAGACTCGGGCACGGCAAGGCCCAGAGACACGCTGCATGCCGCCAGGAGAGCGGCTGCATTAATTACAGTGAGACACGAAATGGACAAGCTGGTCAGCGTTTACAAAAGCTCCCGGTGGCCTGTGGGCACTTCCCACACTGCTGACAGCCCCAGTACGGGCAAAGGCAGGTTCTGTGCTATGCCCTCACCTCGCGTGACGAGAACCACCAAAGACCGACGAGGTAAAAATGCTTACAAAAAGATGAGGATGACAATAGCAGGTGACAAAAATAGCAAAGGGATGCTGGGTCTTTTTTCTGATTCTTTATTCTTCTCAGTTCTTCCAGCCAATGAGTGAACGTGTACTTTATCACTCAAGGGGGACCGAGGAACCCGGGGGGAATCAAACACGAGGTGTTGAGGATGCTCACGGGAAGGAGCAGCTTCAGCGCACCTGCGAGGTGAGGGCACCAGGTCCATCCCGCCCCGCCCCTGGGCGCAGACCGCAGCCCTGCAGGCCTGGCGAGCAGGGCGAGGCTAGAGGACCCGGGTGAACAGTCCTGGGAGGGTCCTGGGAAACGGTTGGGCTCTCGGCCTGGCTCGCTGGGGCAGCCCGAAGCACTGCACGCTTCAACTCCTCTCGTCCAGGGCGTCTACCACGCCCCGGGATTGGCCTGCCTTGGACTCAGAGCCCAGGCCTGGGGCTTCTAGGGTAACTGCTGGGCCCCAGGGGGAGACTGGAAGCCTTGAAGGAGGAGTCAGCTGCAGAGGAGGAAGCAGCACAGCCCCGAGCTACTCCTGTGCTGCTCTCTGGACAGCAGCGCGCCCTGCACCCTGCACCCCGGCACCCACGCTCCTCTCTGCCCGCCGCTCCTCCTTTTCATGTTGTCATAAGGCACGTGGGCTTGCCAGAGACGGAGGGAGGAGGTGCTCCCCAGAAGGGCTGGTCACGCCAATCCCTTCACGCCTCCATCCTGGCGGAATCGGCGCTGTCTACACACACATCTGATGTGTTTTTCAAGCCAACGGCGCAGGACCTGAACTGTGATTGGCTGCCCGAGACCCCCCTTCCCTAACCACCAGGCTATGGGGCTGGCCCTTCTAAACCATTTTGTTACAATTGTTTGCCTTAGGAAAAAAAAAAACACCTAGTTGGTTCAGTTACAAAAACTAAATTCGACCTTCATTCACAGAATGCCACCTTGGTGAGCCCGCCCCACCCTGCCCCTGCCCGCATCCTTCCGTGAGCACCCACTACTTGCATGCCCTGTCCCTGACTGTCCCTGACATGGGGATGAGAGGAGTGAGGCCGAGGGCCTTCTTACCGCGGGCGAAGGCACACATCTGTGCTAGCAAGCTGCGCGCGACCCTGCCTCAGCCTCTCCTGCTGCACAGCAGGCCGCTTAGAGCCGGCCTTAGCGGCCCCCTCGCAGCACAATGAGTCTCCGCACCGCAGCCCCTCCAACCGCAGCTGCTCCTGCGCCCACTCTCACAGCCCCCTTCCTTCTTAGACACTGGGTGCCCTCCTGCCAGCAGGGACAGCCAGCCCCCAGGGGCCTTCCTTTCTCGGCCTCAGGCCTGCTCCTCCCGGCCCTGTCTCTCCCCCTAGTGAGAAAGTGGAGACCATGCTGTGGGGAGACTGCTTGCTGCTCCGGAGGCAGGAGACAGGATGGGTGAGGGCGCTGATGCCAGAGGCATCCCAGGCGTGGCAGGAGAGAAGCCCCAAGGGCAGTCCTGGGGGCGGTGCCTGCCCCAGCTGGGCACATCTGGAGGGCTGGGCAGTTCCCATTCGGCTGGCAAGCAGCTCTGCTCAGACCGACCGCCCCTGCCTTCTCTGAGCCCCGGTCACTGCTGTGTTTTAAAAGTTCAATAGACTACAGACCTCTTCTTGAAGTTTCGAATTGGTCTTTTCCAAGCCGTCTATTTTGGTCTGAAGATCCCCCACTGTGCAGCTGTAAAATAAAAATGTTAGGTAATTGTGAACTCCCCAAACCAGTAAGCAATGGGTTTCTAGAGGCCCTGAACGCAATGGGACACTCGAACACATGCTCTTCAGGAAGTGCCATCTTCACACGGGCTATTCATTTATTTTTTCTCTTTCTTTCTCCAATGCGATACATGCAGGCAGTTCGGTGGGGTACAAGACGTGGTGCTGTGGGCGGTAGGGGCAAAGGTGACCTTCATTTTTAGAGGTTTTTGTCTTAGGCTGTGTGCGCTCACCAGAGACAGAGAGACAGAGAGACAGACACAGCGAGAAGGAAACTGAGCAATCACCCCACAGGGGCGATGGCCACACTGCAATCCCTTCTCCCAGTTCTTGGGCATATATGCACAGGTGCCCTGTGTGATTTTCAAGCTACCGGGTCCAGGACTCGAACCACAGTCTCCTCTGAGAATCCAGCGATGTAACCACTACGCCACATGCTGGGCCCAACAGAGGTTTCTGTAAATGCTTCCCACACCTGGTCTCACTTCTTGAATCTCCTCTAACACGGACTTTGGGCCAGAACATGTGAAGCTGACGTAATCCCTGGCAAGCAGGGCCAGTGTGGACGTGACAAACAGCGAGCACCGTGGCAGTGAAGCGCTGACTTGCTTCTTGGACTGTGTGACAGGCCCTGTTGTTCTAAGCACCTATTATTTATTTATTTATTTATTAGAGGTTTTTGCTATAGGGTGTGTGCGCTTGCCAGACAGACAGAGACAGAAAGCGAGAAATCACCCCCCAGGGTGGACAGCCACGCCGCAATCCCTTCTCCTCCATTCTCCTCTTGGGATCTTGGGCACGCACGCACACGCGCCTGGCATGAGTTTAAGCCCCCAGGTCTAGAACTTGAACTGCAGTTGACTACATGGGAGTCCAGGGACATAGCCATTACGCTAACTGCTGGTCCCATTATTTTCAAGATGCCAGATTGAGGACTTGAACCATGGTCAAACATGTGGGAGTCTAGTGCCTTAACCACTCATGGCATCTGCTGGCCTGAGTTTCACGTTTTTAATTTATTTTTTAAAAAGATTTATTTAATGTTATTTATTATTGTTTTTTAATTTGACCAGACAGAGAGAGAGAGGGAAGTGAGAAGGCAAGTTGCCAGGTTCAAGACTTGAAGCACGGTTGGCCACGTGAGAGTCCAGTGGCTTAACCACCATGCTGGACAGCTTGTCCACACGATGCAGGGTGGGTCAGTGTGAAGCCACAGACAAAATACCGCGCCTCACAGCACTAAGGCCTGAAAGTCACAGTCGCCTCCGTGGGTGCTAAAAAGCACTGGGCAAATTTCAACACCTATTCCTATGAGAGAACTCGGTGAGCCAGCCATCGATGGAGGACCTCTGTATTAACAACCAGCACCACTGGGCCGCAGAAGGGCGTCCCCTGAGCACACTCGGGCTGCCCAGCTTCTCCCCGTTTCACTGGCTTGGCCAGGAGGCTACGCCACGGGGCGTGGCTAAGGGCAACACCCTCTTACAGGGACCGGAGACAGGGACAGGGAGAGGTGTCTGAGCACAGGGCTCTCTCCCCAGCCCCACCCACACCCCACGAACCAGCGCCCGGCAGCGATGGTGGCAGACCCTTCCTTCCTGCTGCAGGCACTGTGGTCAGGGGGTGCTCTGCTACGCCAGAAGCCACAGGGACGGCTGGGCTTGCTTCCCGGCCTGGGCTGCACATGTGGCCATGATCCCGCCTGGCGTGGCCCCGAGACCCGGCCACGGGTGCTAGCTTCTCACTCTCCTCTCGCTCATGAAGGAAGTGGGTAAGTGAGCTTAGCCAGAAATGGAGGTACACCGCGGTGGCCGCCATCACTGCTCCTGCAAGCCCTGCCATGGTTTTTGGCCCTTTCCTCCTGCCCTGCGTCCCAGAGCCCACGGGCCAATCCCAGCTGCGGATTGCCGCGGCAGAGGGCACACACAGGCTGCAGCGCACCTGCCCCGGGTACTGGGCGGCACCAGCGAGGAATGGCCTCCAGGGCAATCTCCCTTCCTCGTCTTCTCCAGGCTGCCCCTGCGGACGGTGCCCAGATGGTAACTCTCGCTGGTCGCAGGAGAGTCAGTTACGAACACACTGCGACTCGGGAGCGTTCCGGGAGCGATGCCAGGGCGCTGGCACACCGCCGTCGCGCCCACAAAAGGGGCCTCACCTTAAGTGCCGGTTAAGCTCTTCCACGTAATTTTTTTGATCAAGGACATCGGTAATTCTTTCATGCCTTTAAAAAAGAGCATAAAGGAAGAGAAACGTAAAACCGTCACAGTAAACACTGTGTACCTGTCCTTACCTTCTGGTCACCTGTAGAAGAGAGCCGAGACAGTTAGTAAGTCTACGCGGCCACAGGGTCAGCAGAGCGGGGCTGGCCGGGACACGGCGTCAGGGCCTCACACAGGCTGCTGGGACAGTGGCCCGCCCTGCGGACGCCCACCCCACCTGCCACAGGTGATGGGTCTGGAAGGGCAGACAACGCAGTCCTATCACACTGCAGGAGACGAGTCACCCCGGAAAGGGGACCTCAGGCTCCCGAGGAGCCACGCTGGACAGAATGAAGGCCAGGGAAGTCTGCACATACGTGTGCACACGCACTTTAAATACACGAGGTCCCTGCACGCGTGTAAGGCATAGGTGTGGGGCGTTTTCAGGGCGGCCATGTCCCCGTTTACTCGTGAGCAGCCTCACCTGCGCACGACCGCAGACCCAGCGTGAACAGGGGCGTACGTACGGGGGATCGGGAAAGGTGTCTTCAGAGCAAAGCGGACAAGCACAGCATGACCCCCACCGACCCGGCCAGTTAGTGGAGCACCTTGGAATTTCCCGCCTCACGGACACGGCTGCAACATCGCAGCTCACACTACTCTCACTCAGTGCCACGCGTGGAGACGCCTCCGCACCCGCCCTGTTTACCACTGCCTGCCCTCCGGCGGGACGTGCGAGTGTAGACGACCCCCCGCCCTGTTTCCCACTGCCTGCCCTCCTGCGGGACGTGCGAGTGTAGACGACCACCCGCCCTGTTTACCACTGCCTGCCCTCCTGCGGGACGTGCGAGTGTAGACGACCTGTGGTTTACTCAGCGAGGCTCCGTCTGGGGGGAGTCGGCTCACACCAGGTGTGTGTGTGTGTGAGAGTGTGCCTATGCACATGCACGTATGGGGTGTGTGTGTGCGTGTACAATGTATGAGTGTGTATGACGTGTGTCTATGCGTGTGTGCGTGTGACATGAGAGTGTGTCTATGCACGTGCACGTATGGGGTGTGTGTGCGTGTACGATGTACGAGTGTGTCTATGACGTGTGTCTATGTGTGTGTGTGTGAGAGTGTGTCTATGCACGTGCACGTATGGGGTGTGTGTGTGTGTACGATGTATGAGTGTGTCTATGACGTGTGAGTGTCTATGCGTGTGTGTGTGTGAGAGTGTGTCTATGCACGTGCACGTATGGGGTGTGTGTGCGTGTACGATGTACGAGTGTGTCTATGACGTGTGTCTATGTGTGTGGGTGTGTCTATGCACATGCACGTATGGGGTGTGTGTGCGTGTACGATGTACGAGTGTGTCTATGACGTGTGTCTATGTGTGTGGGTGTGTCTATGCACATGCACGTATGGGGTGTGTGTGCGTGTACGATGTACGAGTGTGTCTATGACGTGTGTCTATGTGTGTGAGTGTGTCTATGCACGTGCACATATGGTGTGTGTGTGTGCGTGTACGATGCATGAGTGTGTCTATGACGTGTGTCTATGTGTGTGAGTGTGTCTATGCACGTGCACGTATGGGGTGTGTGTGCCCCAGACCCCAGCAGGATGAAGGAAGGAAGGGAGAGGCACTGTGTGGCCATGCCCTGCCATGCCCTACGAGAGGGCGCTGTCCCCTCTCTGCTAAGGGGGTACCGTCTGGCAATGAAGAAAACCTTTTTGGGGTCCAGGTGGTGGAGCAGCAGCAATGCAATAGACCCACATGGGAAAGGTCCTGGGTTCGTGTCCGGGGCCTCTAGAGGTTGCTGGGTGTGCACACGTGTACCTATGACCTGGGCTGGCAGGGACAGGACGGGCCGAGTGTGGTGTAATGACCCTTTGGGGAGGGACCAGTTGGCGTAATGGCTACGTCGCTGGACTTCCACATAGTCGACCGCATTTCGAGTCCCAGACCCGGTGGCTTAAACTCACACCGGGCACATGTGCGTGCATGCCCAAGATCCCGAGAGGAGAATGGAGAAGGGATTGCGGCGTGACCATCCCCCCTGGGGGGGTGATTTCTCACTTTCTCTCTGTCTCTGTCTGTCTGGCGAGTGCATGCGCCCTGTAGCAAAAAGTCTCTCTCTCAAAAAAAAAAAAAAAGGACCCTTTGGGGGAAGACTGTCTCTCTCCCTCTCTCAGAGACAAACTTGAAAACAGAATAACCCTTAGGCAATGAGCGGCTGTGTGTGCTGGGTGACCTGCTACGCGGGGTCCCTAAGACCTGGGGCTGTGGTGCATGCCTGGGAGTCCCACAGCTCGAGGCTGAGGCAGGACCGTGACTTAGAGACCCCGTCTTAAAATGAACGGAAAAGCAGCTCTCAAGTGCGTGGGCCCTTAGGGTGCAGGAAGTACTCGGAGCTCCTCTGTCCCTCCCTTGGGAAGGTGCACTGCTGGGACTGAACCCGGGCAGTCTCCCGGCACGTGGTGGAACATCCATACCCGACCCCCTGGTTCACGGTGACCCTTCCCAGGCCTGCCTCCACAGCCACCGCTAACGGGCCGACGTACCACTCCAGGAACGTCCTGTGCATGTGAAATGGGAGCGGGGACTTCAAAAGGGCGTGGAGGGGCCAGCACATGGTGTGGTGGTTAAGGGAGTTGGACTCTCACATTCGACCATGGTTCGCATCCCAGCCCTGGCAGCTTGCTTTCTCACTTTCTCTCTTTCTCTGTCCCTCTCTGGTCAAATTAAAATAAAATACATAAAGATAATATAAAATAATTATTTTATTTATTTATTTATTTTCTTTAAAGAATTACGTTATTTATTTATTTATTTGCGTATTTTTAAATTTGACCAGAGAGGGACAGAGAAAGAAAAAGAGAGAAAGTAAGAAAGCAAGCCGCCAGATCTGGGACTTGAACCGAGGCCAACCATGTGAGAGTCCAGCAGCTCCGACCACCATGCCACCTGCCGGTCCCTAAAATAATTTTTTTTGAGCAGTTTTTGCTATAGGGCGTGTGTGCTCGCCAGACAGACAGAGAGAGACAGAGAGACAGAAAGCGAGAAATCACCCCCCAGGTGGAATGGCCACGCTGCAATCCCTTCTCCTCCATTCTCCTCTCGGGATCTTGGGCACGCACGCACACGTGCCCAACGTGAGTTTAAGCCACTGGGTCTGGGACTCAAAACGCGGTCGACTACGTGGGAGTCCAGCGACATAGCCATTACGCCAACTGCTGGTCCCCCTAAAATAATTCTTAAAAAAAGAAAAAAAGGGCATGGAGAAGTGGAATGAGAGTGCAGAAAATGTTTTGAAACCTGTGCCTAATTTTCCGAGTGCACACGCCCCACGGACTGCAGAGGTTTTGGTTAACCTCTGCCTGCCTTCACTTTTTTGGCTAGAGGGCACATGTGCTCACCACAGAGGGGGAGAGGAAAGCACCTCCTGTGAGGAGCAGTACGCTGCAATCCCTTCTCCCACATCTTACATCCTTTTGGGATTTGGGGCGCACGTTGGGAGGGGATGCGGTCTGGGGTAGCCTGGAGGGGAATGGTGTGTGCTGTCCTGCGGAGCTTCATTCCGTAGAGGATGACAACAGTTACGTGTCACCTAGTAACTAGAATAACCACACCAAAGCTAGATCGCGAACCGAAGCAGCGTGCAGCGTGCCGGGCCAGGACCCACCAGGAGCGAGAGCGGGGTGCCCCACTTACTCTCGGCCGCTGTCGAGCTCCTGCACGTCCTTCAGGTAGATGGAGAAGTCGATCACTCCAACCTGGCCGGGCAAAGCGCACACGCTTAAATAAAGCGCCACCTCCCGCCTTCCCCGCCAACACCTCTGCAGCCAGGGCACCCACGACATCGCTTCCCTTTCCCTGTCGGCCAGCCCTGTCACGTGGCAGTCAGCGGGACACACCGGGACGGAAGCCCGCCATGGTGAAGAAAACCCTGAGAGCCAGAATTAAGGGAGCAGCCTAAGATTTTATCGTTTAATTAAAATGAGTTTGTGTTTATTCAATGATCACTTCATTTGCACAGATCAGTAAAGTTCTCCGGGTGCAAAGTAATTTAAAAACCCTTACTCCAGCA